AACACATTGTAAGCCGCCCTGAGTCTCCGGAGAAGGGCGGCATATAAATCGAACCAATAAATAAATAAATAAATAAATAAATAAATAAATAAATAAATAAGTAAGTAAGTAAGTAAGTAAGTAAGTAAGTAAGTAAGTAAGTAAGTAAATAAATTCTATACAGAACTGAAGGCTGAATTATCTGCCAGCTGATTTTATAACTTATATTCACAAATCAGTCAACAGACCTTGTAAGCCTTTTACAAAAGTAATTTAGAATGACATAATGTAAAAGGTTTAGATATCTATTCTACTTTGCATGATCTCTGTGACACAAGCATAACAGAAATGACTTTAAAATGTTACCCTAATTCTGATCTGGGTTAAATAAGAACAACTCTCAAGAACTACTTGTAGTCCAGCTGCGACCATCCTTTTGATCTAGAACAACTTTCTTCAACCAAATATCTTCCAGATGCATTTCATTCAGCCCCAGTCAAAATACCATAAATGTTTAGAACTGGTTGGGAGTTATTGAATGTGGGGTCCTAGCATATTGGAGGATGCCAGATTGAGGCAGGCCGATTACCCCAACATCATCTGACCTACTTTCATATCAGATAGCAAGGCAACAATAAAAGCTACCTTTGGTATCAAGAAACAGATAATAGTAAAACAAAACCAACCCAAAAGCAGAAGTTGTGCCTTCATTTGGAGGTTTTGTTCTCAGGGGAAATTAACTGTTATTTTAACAGTTGCTAAGTGAATCATGAAGATGGAAAGACAGGACATGTGAAGGTACTGTTTTCATCTGTGCTTCTTAATTAAGTAAAAGTTTGCAAGGTATCGTAATTCTAGGCTGAGATTAGTTAATTTGATTTACAGTGGCAAGTGGCAGGTTTCCTCTCAGCAGCCTGGACTAGAAACAGATAAATAGGCATACAAGCATACAAGAATTTATGGTTTATTCTAGAATAGCTAGAAGCCATTCACCCAGCCACCCACCCCAAATTCCAGCAAGTTTTGGGTATCAAATGCAATTTTTATTTATACAGTCCTTGATTTACAACCGTACTGGAGCATGCCCATTAGTCATAAGTTACAGTGGTCATTAAATGGGTCACCATATGACCAACCCAATTTTACTACTTTTTCTTTACAGCAGTCATTAAGCAAATCCACTAAGAAAATGTGACACTTGTTAAGCAAACCCATTATTTACCATAGATCATTTTTTGTTGAAAAGTAAAACACCAGCTTTTGGAAAAAAAAACTCATAAATCACATTCACATGACTGCAGGATGCTGCAAATGGCTGAAATTGCGAGCTGGCTGCAGAATGCCCAAAATGCAATCATGTGACTATAAGAGTAGGAGCTGTTGGTACTTGGGTTGTAAATTTGAGGTTGGAGATGGTTGTAACTTTGAACAGTCGCTAAACAACCAGTCATAAATTGAGGACTACTTCAAGGTGTTTGTGAATCTTTCTCCTAAGCATTCTGTGTAAGGGATTAGAAGCAAGAAACTAGCTTTTGTGGGAGAGAGACAATTTCCATCTATTTGGTGTTTATGCAAGGTCTGGTATCGAGGTGTTTTGTTTTTGATGCAGGAGAAACAGTTGTCACAGTATGAGTGGCATCCTCCAATAAAAACCTCACTATCATTATAAGGTAAGTGGTTTACAGCTTGTAATTTTTGTACATAGGGCACTTCTGCACCCCAGTTAAGAAACAAAAGAGTAGTTATCTGAAAAAATCAAAAACCCTTGAATTAATCATTCGGCTGCTTACCATTCTTTTAAGGGTTAGGATTACAAGATCCCATGTATTGAACTGAATATGAAACCAACATTCTTACTTTACATTTTTCAACACTGTTGATCTTAAAGGTATGCTGTAAGCAAGTAAATTGAAGAAAAAAAATATGTGCAAGAGTGTTTGTGAGAATGTAGAAGCAGAGGTCAACAGCAAAAACAATAAATTTTCCAGAACATTTCAGTAATTTCAGAATAGGTGCTTAATACAGTTTATTATGGATGGCTATATAAAATATAGTACCCATTTATAGGTCAAAAGTAAGTCTTGTTAAATGTGGCTGGTTTTAATATTAATTAACTTTTTAATGGCTTGGAATATTTTTAGCCAACCCAGTTCATGTAGTTAGCTTATGGTTCAGTGAATTGTGGAGCGCCAGGAAAAAGGTTAATTCAGTGAAGAGGTGCCCATGAGTTTCATTGATTATTAACCAAATTTAAGAGACCAGTATTTATTTGAGGTAAGATGAAAACAAATGCATTGTAGTCTGAAATCTAGGATAAATTTAGGTTACTAATTTCCTAAACTAGTTTACCACAATCTGATGTTTTCTAGATATAATGTCCCCTTTAAATCAAAGCCACATTTGAAAGTGGAAGAATCTTTTTCAATCAATTAATAATCATTAAGTAAACCTAAGTCTTAATCCAGGTCTAGGCTATATACATTGACTATATACATATCTACTACACAAATAGTTAACCGTAAAGATTTCACCATTTCAGACTGTGGCTGGTTAATTCCAGTTCTAAATTCCCTTTTATACTAAAACAAACTAATCCTCAAACTTCCTGCAAATAATAAATAAATATGCAAAATAAAAAAGGGAAAATATGTCATACGTGATTATTTACAGCTATATTCTTTACGAGCAAATTCAAGATTTCTTCTTTTTGTGGTTTTGAGCTAGTGTTGACTCCTGGAATCTCCCTGGACAAGTCCCCGTAGTTTTCTTGACAATTTTTTTTTATTTATTTTTTTGCCATTCTCTCCTTCCTAGGGCTGACAGACACTGATTAGCTGAAGGGTCCCCATCTGGCTTTGTCCTCAAGATGGGACTAGAACTCACAGTCTCTCAGTTTTTAGCCTGGTGCCTTAAGCACTGCACCAAACTGGCTCCAAAATTCAAGGCTGGAGAGTATTCAAATTATATAATTGTTTTCCTGTCATCTGCAATAGCATAATCCATTCTCTATCACTTCAGTACTTAGCTGGATGCTTTATTGTACTGAAGACTCCAGTACATCTGGTGAAATAATTTTTTTTTAAAAAAACCACCATTCAAAATGAAAAGAGAAACTGTATGATTGGAGAAAATGAAGGTCATGGACTTGAATCCTCTCTCCCCAGCAGAAGTCCAACAAACCAAAAGCACAGTTCTCCAAAACTCTAATTTATGTGGCCGTTGCTCCAGATTTGTTATTGAAATAACAACACCCAAGACAAGGCATGTGCACCCATTTCAGTATGGCACCACTGAGGGAAAGACATTCAGCATCCATAGAAATCAGGCTGCATGTCCCTTTACTGCTTCTGCTATCACAACTCCTAGCTAGTGTATTCTGTCACACTGTCACATGTCACTTTCCTAGTTCCTGTGCAAAAGCTATTCTTGCTCATTAAAGAGGAACAAAGCTTTGTGTTTCAAAGCCTAGCTGCTCCATCACCCATGGGGGAAAGACATCATTTATACGAATGCATTGTGGTGCACTGAAGAGATAAGAATTACTGTAATACAGTATTTCTCAACTCAGCCACTTGAACATGTGCGGACTTCAACTCCCAGAATTCCCCAGCCAGCATTTGTTTGTTTGTTTCTCTTCTTGCATTTCTCCCCACTCCATCCCACTTTTTTCTAATTCCTTTTTTCTGTTTCTTCATATTTTACCTGATATGGCAAGTTATACCACGATCAACTCTTTCCAATTGGACTTCTAACAGTAGGGAAATTACGATCTACAGGAATTACTGGATGAATTGGTTTTATTTATTATTATTATTATTATTTATTCAATTTATATACCACCCTTCTCCTATTGGACTCAGGGCGGTGCACAGCCAAGAATAGTTTTCCATAATTGCCTGCAAATGATGATGACCCTCTGCACCTTATATTATTATCTTTCCTGGTTTTTCACCAAGCATTTATTTTTATTTTTTATTTTAAAAAAAATGTGTAAAATCCAGAACTGTAAAGTACAGTGGTCATCTAGCTCAGCTGCTTGCAAAATGCAGGAAAACCAATTAAATATTTTATAGGCAAACTTGCTTCCTATTCACTTGCGCAAGGCTACAGTACACCTGTGCAGACAAAATATTGAGCAAAGCTTGAGCTCTGAGGATCAGTTTCGCTATCTGCCAAAACCTGCAGGGCTCCTTCTTGGCAAATGGTTTCTCTCCAACTGAGTGACATGTACCTCCATAGCCTCTGCAGGGTTCATACGGTAGATGTTTATATGTCAAAAAAGTATAGCATAGCATTGCTGGCTGGGGAATTCTGGGAGTTGAAGTCCACACATTTCCAAGTGGCCAAAACCAAGAAACACTGCTGTAACAACAAGGAAATGCTGTAAAACCCGCAAACATTTTGCACAGCTATCCTTTCCCAATGCTGAAAATCCATAGGATTTCATTTGTGTTCTTGACTAGTCCTTAGAACTGACTATCCTTGGAAAGGATATAAGGACACAGCAGTGTCTTTCCCCAATCCAGTAATTTCCAAATGGGTTCGAATTTCGGATTACACTTCCTAGTAAGGTCGCTGGAGCAAAGCTGGAAATCCTGGGAATCCAAGCAATGGTTGGGAAGCCTCAGATTGGGAAAGGCTGGGAAGACCTGAGGCTCATCCACCAGCAAGGTTGGCATCTTCTTATCTACAACGTTCTCTCAGCATGAAGATCCCGGTGGAATCTCCCAGTTGCTTGTTGCCAATCCCTGGAATATATATATATATAAAATATTGAATATGAGGACCTTCCTGGACAAATGAGCTCTTCTGAACCCTGGCAAGAGGGTTAAATCGCCACCTCTTCTTCCAGGATCAAGGTATCGCCTTCCCTTCCAGTCCAGGAAGGAGACGGGAACCTCCCCGAAATCATGACTCCGTTCGACTTGAAATGCCAAAGGCGCAGAGATCAATCGCAGCCCAACACGCCCAATAGGTGTGGATCTTCCTTCATGTTTGTACAAACACCCTATTAGTAGCCAAGCTGGCTCGGTCACATGACGGAGGCGAAACGTGAAATCCGGCCGGCCCTCGAGCAAGTTTGTTGCTTCTGCGAAAGGCGCGCGGAGTCGCTTCTCCCGGACGCAGGAGATCCCCTGAGGAGGATCCTTCATCGCTTGGGTCTCTTTCGGCCCCTCCCTGAATCCCGATCTCCAGGAACTAGGAAGCTCGCAGATGTCCTTCTGACCGGCTTGTCACTTCATGCGGGCCACTTGGACGGGAGAATGGAGAAACTCAATAAACTCACCGTGCCGGCGGGGCAAAAACTCAGGTACGGCTCTCCATCTCGATCCCACCACTACCACCACCAGCCCGCTTGGCTTTTTCCTCTTCCTCCTTACGCCGAGAGTATGATTCAGAAGTTCTTGCCTTCTCCGTCTCTTAGTAGAAGTCTGGGCGGCAGAAGGAGGAGGAGGAGGCGGAGGCGGAGGCATGAGCTAGTGAGTAGACAATAATTAAGCAGCCCAGAAATCCACAGAGTATCCGGAACGGTGAATGGGAAGGGAGGCTTTGGGATCGCACAGGAATCTTTTCCAAATGGTATATAGATGGTAAATTGTATATGAATGGGTTCTGTGCGGCAGGTAGGATGATCGCTCCCTTTCTCCTCTCAGGTAAGGCTTCTAGAGCTTAAACCTGGTGGATCTTTTCTCAACACAAGGAGGTGTTTTGTCTTGAATAGCAACTGGCCATAAAACCACGCTAGTTATATATCCGACGAACCGATTACATGTTTATATACACCTCTCTCTGAGGAAGCATGGCCTGAATTCATTACCTTTGGCTGTCAGGTGTTTGTTTAAGTAGGCTAACTGTACTTCCTCAACTCCTTGATTTCTCCCTGGATGCAGGAACCCTTCTTCTGTAGTACAGGGTTGTGTGGCATAACAACACAGGGTGCTGCTTGTACTATAGACAAATGTCAGACAAATGTCTATGGAGGTTCTCAGTCATCCAGGTCATGATTGTCCCAAAGGTGCTTGTTCAAGAGGCAACTGGACTTTCTGGAAAGTCCAGTTGCCTCTTGAACCTTTGGGACAGAGTCAGACAATTGGTTGATCGAGCCTGGTTGTGATTAGCAAAGGATCTGCAGATTCCATGCTCTACCTGCTAGTAACAGAATTTGAACTGTCCCGCATGTCATACATTAGACTCGGGACTCCTTTGTGTGTGACACGATACTACTTTTGACTTGATAATCTTCTGCTGCCTTGGGAACCGACATTTCACCAGTCCCTATTTGATATTGATGCAATGCAGCTTGTAGGACTTGTAAGGTTTGTGGAATTTGCCAGTTAGACGCTTCAAGGAAGTTTGTAGCAACTTTCAGATATGCATTGCTAAAAGTTAAGTGTGTGTTCTTGTGAGTATACAGACTTTATTAGATTTCTATAAAGATAAAATATAAAGACACAGAATAAAGAATAAATTCTTTTTCTTTTAAAAAAAGAAAAAATGGTAGAAATGCAAGGAGGAAAGGAAAGGGTGTAACTTCCAAATTAATTCAGTACAGTTACAAATATAAAATACATTAACCTTTAGGTCTAAAATTCAATAGTTCACAGTATTTCTATAATTATAAACAATTCTAATTATCAAATTCCAAAATTAAAATTTCATTCCAGATTCAAGCAAAAAGCTCAGAAGTGGTCTCCATGTAGAAAAAAAGTTAGAGTTAGATTTTCTATCCCCTCCCTTTCCATTAACTTCGTCATCCATTCTTCCATTGTAGGAATCTATAAATGCTTTCATGTCTGTGCATAAAAAGTTAGATGCTTTAGACTGCAGGAATGAAACCAAAGAATAATGTGCAAAAGCTAAGAGACTGGAAATAATTTCATTCTTTACATTGCAAATCTCAGCAATGCACATATGTATTCCAGTAATGAAGTAAATACATCAAATTTTGGTGCACTGCACACAGCTTTCAGCACCTATTTCTGTACACCTGAGGACTTTTTAATCTCCGTTTAACTGTGGGTGAGACAGCATTGCTGAGAACTCTGAAAATAAATATGAAGTCATTAAAAGTCCAGTTGACCCAACAAAATACAAACAGGATCAGAAGCCAAGAGAAACAGAGAAAGTGTGAACCCTGGTTAAAATTTAAAAAAATGAATCTAAGTCATTTCATGAATCTGTGAACGGAGAAAATTTGCATGCACCTGGTTGACAGAAAAGGGAGACATACTGATCTGTGGATTTCAAAATAAGCCTCAGGGTTGTTCATTACAGGTACTCCTCAGTATATGACCAATTGTTTAATGATGGTTTGCCAAGAACAACCCCGCAGTGATTGTTAGATGGTTTTGGCAGATAACTAGACCCATCCTCAAAATTCACTCTGGGCTTCGGTCAACAATTTGTTTGCACAGGTCCGCTATAGCCCAACTGAACAGAGAGAAAGTTTGCCTATAAAAGGTTAAATATGGTTTTCCTGCACTTTTCAGATGGTTGAATTAGATCATTGCAGTGGCCCATTCCAACTCTTACCATTCTATAATTTTACAAAAGAAAAATAACTTCTCTAAATCAGACCTAATAGAAGAAAATAAAAATGCTTGGGAGAAGTCTGAAGAAGTCTTCATACCAGAAAGATGAAGATTATATGAATATGGTGCAGAGAGTTAACATTTTTTGCAGGTGATTATGGAAAACCAATTCATCCAATTATTCCTTCAAACGCGCAAAAAAAACCCAGATTGAAACTGAGTAAGTTGCACTACCCATCACTCACAAGCAAAGCTGTATTTTATTCATTGATTTATATAATAACTTATGATACCACTGACTGAGATTTCTTGGCAGTTTATAATAACACATAAAATCGAAACTGAAATTGGAATTGTTGAAAACTATTTAAAACTGCCATTCTAAACTGTAAATTCAGGAACCTTTTGAGCAAAAAGTCAACTGTGATTCATGCTTCTATCACCACGTGTTTGGATTGCCACAGTGTTCGTCGCATGGCACTCTCCCTTGAAGACTACTCAGAAACTGCAACTGTTTCAAAATGCAGCATCTCATTTGTTGCTGATTAAGTTATCACAGTCATACGCAACTGGTGTTATGAGCACTGGGTTTCCAGTGCAATTCAAATTGCTGGTTTTAAGGTGTAATAATACTTGATAAGGCTTGGCTTCTAAATAAACTGAAAACTGACTCTTTACATAGAAACATTCTGTGCAATGTATAGTATCCCTTACCAATTTCTAGCAGTATTCTTCCAGTACTAAAGCGTGAAGTGGGTATGGATTCACAGATAGTTGTTATCTGTCACAGTCCCTAGTGACCTTGACAGAAGTTAGTAAAATTTGAATGGTTCTGGAGGACACTTGGGGTGATGATCAGCTGCCATATGCATCTTCTGTTACAGTACTACTTTTTAATGATAAACTTGTGTTTTAATGTCGTTCATCTATTTACAGATGTAAACAACTGGAAATCTTTGTAGGTTACATTGTTATTTAGATATAATTAATGATTAGGGTTCTCATTAGGTCCATTGGATGTCTAAGGAAAAGTACCAGATCACTGTCAGAGAATCCAGAGTGGAGTGGAGTGGAGTGGAGTGGAGTGGAGTGGAGTGGAGTGGAGTGGAGTGGAGTGGAGTGGAGTGGAGTGGAGTAGAGTAGAGTAGAGTAGAGTAGAGTAGAGTAGAGTAGAGTAGAGTAGAGTAGAGTAGAATAGAATAGAATAGAATAGAAAAGAAACTTTAGTGTCACTTTAAATGAAAACTAATCAGCAAACATTAAAATGAAATTTCTTTGCATTCAGCTCTCAGAAGATAACCATTATGCATATACATATATCTGTTTAGAGGATCTTGATGGCAGGTCATCTAGAAAGAAAATTCTCAAGTTCTGCTTGAGTAACCATATCTCAATATAGAAAAGAGTAAGTTTTTAAGTCTAGGCTTATCTGAAGTCTTGCTAGGCCAGAATCTCACAAGAAGGAATCAAGGCTAGCCATGACTATATTTCCTTCTTTCAAGGTTTACGACATTGTGAACCTTAAGGATTGCTTACCTCTGAAGAAAGTGGTTAGGTCACAGTTAATGTTGCTTGGTTGGGAGAGCATTTCCATTTCCTGGGTTGTGCAGTCTCTGAGATCTTGCTCAGTTTGCATCATTTGAACTCAGAAAACCTTTCTTTGGGTTTTAAATCATTATTTTACTGATCTATTTTGTCTATATATATTTTTTAATTGCTGCCATTTTCTTAATGTCTGGTTGTCATTGTTTTCAGGGATAACTTTTTAAAATTTTAATCATGTCATTTTTGCCTTGGTGAGAATCTTTCTGGACAGCAGACTACAAGTGTTTTCTATAAAGTGTAACAGTAATTTTTACTATTAGCAAATTTTGTCCCACATTAATCCCTCGGCAGGAGTATAACCACAAAATATGTTCCTTCTCTACAGTCAGGAGGCAATAGACGAAAAAATGGTTTGTCTAGTTTTGACCATTGATAAATAAAATCTTTCTGTTGGTGCTAATCCATGTTATGGATCTTAAAGAAGAAGAAGTTTTACAGAACAAGATTGAGACTGATCTAAATGTAGATTTAAAAACGACAGGCTATTAGAGTCATGTGGGAAAAGATCTTTCACTGATCATACAAAAGAAACTGGCTGATGTCTTTAGTATTGGTATTAGTATTAGTATTAGTATTAGTTAGTATTAGTATTAGTATTAGTATTGTGTGGCATAGTTACATTAGCCAGGAGACCACAGGGCTATGGCATAGTATTAGTTTGGCTGCCAATTTACCTGCTCTGTTGTACGACATGCTTGGCACTTCCCAAGGTGTGTCACAGGAAAGCAAGCTGGCTTTGCCCCAGAAAGAAAGACAAGCTGCTCTTCCTGCAACAGCCCCCTCTCTTTCCCAGAGCTGCCTCGTAAACAGGCACTGCAACCAGGAAGGTTCAGAGGCGGTAGGAATCTGCCTGCCTGCACAGAGCACTAACTCATTTCCTCACCAAAGTGGTACCTATTTATCTACTCACATAGAACATGCCTTCGAACTATTAGGTGGAGAGAACTGAGGCAAGTGACAGAAGCTCACCCTGCCACGAAGTACTAAACTCGAACCGCTGGGGCAGAGACCATCTCCAGCATCATTAAGCCACTGAATCGGCACACTTCTTTGTAATAATTAAAAAAAATATTACAACTAACAAATCAAGAGAGTAAGCTAGATAATTTTCTTGTATTGAATTTACAAGAAAGACTTGTTTAAGTGTTGAAGAATTTTGTGAAAAGGAACAAAA